CTGAATCAATTAGGAATGTCTGTTTCAATTTAGAACGGCTCAGCCGTTCTTTTCGCCTAGCTCGGCCAGGAATTTCGCCTTTGGAGCGACTTTGGAACGGCTTTTATTCAGACGCCGAACTTTTCATGTACCGAACCTAATGCTTAAATTATTATAACGTACTTTGTAAGCAGTTTGACCGAAATGAGCATTTTTTGCCTTTTGATCTCAGTTCAGCTGCAGTTAAGATCGGCATCTGAATCAATTCAGCTGTCAATTCAGCCGGTCTAAATAATTTGGGTCGGCCTTAATTCGAATTAGGTTCGGCTCATAAAATGTTCAGCGTCTGAACCGGGTCTCAGGGTATAAACCACTCTTTAACCCTTTCATTGCCCGAGGTAATAATGGAGTCTGGTAAGGTAGATAAACTATGAAACTATGACAAAGCACTATTTGTTCTCAGCGCAGCATATATAACTGATGAAATTTGGAATTTTGTCGAAATTTGATTTTGGTCACCTGTGGCAGTGAAAGGGTTAAAAAGCAATTGAAAATTTTAAAGACAACTGTGATAAGTAAGGAGACCTTTGATAAGGAGCTTTAAAGATTAAGATAGCAATTAATTTGGGATAAAAAGTACTTGAGTGTGAGGCACCTGATGTGTGGCCCCCTAACCTGTAAAAAGGGTTTTTCTTTTTTGCGCCAAAAAAAAAATCGCCTGATCGCAGGTTATGTGGCCTCTGGCCGGTTGTCTTTATGGCTAGAGGACCGAAATGACATCCTTATGCCTTCTTCTCCCCGCTGCCTTCACAACCTATCCTACACAGTAGGGGCTTTGACAAGGGGGGGCTGAATAGTATATTCATGTACATTCTACTCCGCAGCGCACTTAAATCCTAAACCCTTTAGAGTCACCAGCATCAAATTTTTCCTTATAATTTCACTGCCTGAACAAGCAATGGATCAGGAACAAAAAATGTATTTTTCAATGTGCTAAGAGAGAATTGAGTGCGAAATAAGTTTGAACAGGAAAAGCGCAAGCTCTGGGCTCGAAAGGAAATTCTCCCTCGGCCCCGGTAAAGGTACTTTCCTTGTCTTATGGCGCGAAATAACGACTTAAAGTTGTTAAGTTACTTACGCACGATACACAACCCAACAGAGGACCTTTGTTGCCATCCGGGGCAGCAATGCGGGTTTATTCTTCCACCACACACATTTGGCCTTATGAAATCGTCAAAACAAATACAATTAGCCAGTGACACAGAGCCATTAGGAAGATCAATTGACAGTTTAAAATTGATAAACAAGCATGGGAACGAAACTTGGCCATTGAAGTAAAAAGCTGCATGAATTTTTCACTACTAACTGCTAGGGTTACGAAAGTCGTAATTAGTAAATCAATAATCAATCATTGGTTTACACAGAAAATATCACTCAAAAGTGTTTATAGAAGAATGGATCAAGTCACTTCGGAAAAATCTTGTGACAATAGTCAATAATTCTGTGTTTTCGATCAACATTATGGGACAATATTCGGTACAAGCTGTACAAACTCAAGCCATTTACACCGCATGTCACAGATGTTTTGATTATATTTCTTTTCACAAAATATCAGGACGATCAAGTCGTGCTTCAACATTTAAAGGGTGGTTGGCAAATGCGTTTTGCATCAATGAAGAGTTTTACTTACCCCGTGAGTATTTGCTGTCGTTTTCCTGGGATAATGTTCTCGCCTTGACTCGAATTAAACTGCAGTCCATAAGACGAACGCCACGAAACTACGTACAGCAAGGCCATAAAAATAAAAGATGTCATTTTGGATTTCGCTTGTGAAATAGTTATTGTTGAGCTTGTTGTTGAAGATGGATGATCTCCAGTTAGTCGTGCGGTTAAACACCACAAAAGCCTTTTCCCAGTTTAAAATGTGCTGCCGGATAGCGTCTGATTATTAACGAGAGCGCTCTGTACCTGCGATCAATATGTGTTTCGCGCCTCGAGATTATCTACCAAAAGTATCTCTGAATCTTTTGGCCAGAGTTTGCTCGTAGTTCCTAGAGCGCGAATTTGAGAACAGTCCAAGGTATGTCGATTTGAAGGAATGAGCTTGGATCGCATAGCTTCAGCTTCAATGAATTGACAGGAAGAACTGCGGAATGCTTGACAGGAAATTAGATATGTGACCCTTGGCCTTGACTCAATTTTGATAAGTTGATTCGGCTTTGTGGTCAAATTTGATACCACTGCTTACTGTTTGTTCTTCATAAGCACCCATCTATAATCTAATATTGTACCTCGCCCTGTAATATTTTTCCCTTTTTCGACCCTGAAATACCAAAACATAAAAACGCCCACAACAGCGAACTTCCCAGCTCCAATCAACCGCTCAGTGTCCGCTTTGGAGACGTGCCTGCTTTTTATACAGGCTGACTGCTGATTGCAAGACGCTAAAACCTGTCCGCCGCTTTTTGTGCAGTGCATCCCCCTCCCCCCACCCCTTCGAGAAACGTCGTGCGCGATGTTGAAAAACGCGCGGGATCAGGAGCCGTATCAGGTCTATCAGATCACGAAACTATCAGTATCTGAAATCGTACGATGTCCCTTCAAGAAAACTAAATAGTTTTACATTGCCAGCTTTTCAGCGTGCAAGTTATTGTACTTGAACAACGTTTAGAAGTGAAAAGGGTCCGACAAGTTTACGGACAGCATGACATGACTGATATTGCTAGGGCTAAGGAACTTCCTTGCCAGCCAGTCTCCCAAACAAAAGGGAAGAAGGACCGCCTGATCCTACGTTAAGTCTACTGATATGACACGTGGTTGAACGTTGAACGGCGCGAAAGGGACCTTGTTTTATGTCATCGTTTTTGTTTTTATTTTGATGATTTTTTAGATATCCAGACTCAAGGCAATCGGTATAAGTAGCTAAGTAAACACTACTAGCAAAAATACTGAACGACCATTGCCTTTTCTTTTTCCTGTAACTTCTCAGTCAGTTCTACGTCATTAGTACTCTTGTAACGTTATTCTAAAGCAGGTCAAAAGAGAGCGCGTACCTTTTTTTTTCAATGTGGCCCCTTTAAATAAGCAGAGGCCGCACCCAGATAGCGAGCTTTATCTTGACTTTCTTGTACCACAATTACAATCACTTGTGGATTTCTCCTCAAAATTCAGTTGCAACCAGGAGCCGATTAAGTAATCAGCACGTCACGAGCGCTCTATCCACTTGAGCTACGGAGAGGGTTTGAACCGGCTTACGTGTTACCCGTCAGATCAGTGCAGATGAGACTCTAAATTGAGCCAGCCGATTGCGCCACTGCGACGCAAACAGATGCAAAAAATAGCAATAACGAATGCACAAGGTACTTTTCGGCTTGTTTTTGATATTTGACGTAGTGACACCGGGAGTTGGAGCAGAAGCATGCTTCTGGTTGGAGACATCGCGAGAACACTTCTAGTTCTTTCGGCTATAACAAATATTTGAGGCGGATCGCAAAGTAATGTCGTAAACTTGCATTTTGTTTCCGAAGTGAGGCCGGAAGTTGTTCGAGATATCTTGAGATCACAACCACGACCCCGAAGTTTACGCTCCATAGCGTCTTGTTTCAACTAGAAACCTTTCCGTAATCACGCCTTTCCGCCTAGTCTGAAATGTCATATTTTTCACCAAATTACATGAAATAGATTACAGGCTGATCTTCGGTACAAAATTGCTAACTGAATCAGGCTCCGCAGTATCTCTTATGGCAAGTTACACTTGAAAAAATGTGGCAACAAGGACTACAGCGGCGCATGAGCCAGACTTGACCAAAAAAGATTGTTCGCATATTACACATTTACATCACGCTACGCTGATTTACATGCACGTACAAAGCAAGCTTTCCAGCATAACTACAAACCAACTCTTCATAAGTTTCTCGAAATAATTAAGGAGTGACTTCTAGTTGATTATAAAGCGCTCGAGCAAACTTATGTCGCCAAACAGCGCCACCAACTCTGTAGTCTCAGTTTTCAAACGCTTAACCCTTTCCCCTGCCGCCACCCTGTACTACATGTATATCATCCCCGGTGACCCAGGGGCGGTCAGTCGGCGGCGAAAGTCATCAAGAACGGGAAAGAGAGCCGGCCTGGGATGCTACTCTTACGGAACCAGTTCCACGACTCACTCGAATGCTGGCCTCCGATTGGGCACAAAAAGTAATCATTGACAAGCATTCGAATGAGTTGCGGAACTGTTTCTTTTTAGCCTGCGAACGGCAGACGTTTCTCCTCGCTCATGCGACGCTGAGGGACGGTTCACGAGCAGGAACTCTGTCGACCAATCAGCGCTTCTGACCAGATTCCGGACAGATTTTGCGTCATCAGTATGGAATTTCTGTTGCTGAGTCGCAGACTTTCTTCCTCGCAGCGGGAAAACGTCTCTCAGTGGCAATGAGCGAGGAGAAACGTCTGCCGTTCGCAGGCTAGGTTCTTTTATTTCGCCGCCGTTTTTTCTTGACCCATGCCATCGGGGGATGGGAAACGTACAGTACAGGGGAAACTCAATCACGTTTCCGCGTAAGACTGGGAATCAGTGATATCTGCGCAGTCGTTATGCAGTAATTCGCGCATGTATTTTGAACGAAGACAGCAAGAGCATCTGATCGAGAGGACCGGGGATTGTTTTGGTCTATACATGGTCAGCAATTTCTCTCTCGTATTTGCTACATTTTGACTTTTCTTTCGTGATTTGATCAGCTGTGGGTTGCAAGAGGAGGAGGAGGAGCCCGTCTAGGTTTCTTTGTTTTCCTTTTTTCGTTGTCTTTTGTTTTCAACATTTGCCTGGCGTCGACGGACTGACGTGTTGTTGTCTCACATGACGTTCGTCGTTAAACGAAGCTTTTCCTTTGGTTAGTTTATCGACAACAAGACTCCTTTTTGGGGATTCATATGTAGTCTCAACGTAGAAATCATATTTAGACCGCAGTTATTTATATTTGGTGTTGAAAGGGAGACTAAAGGTTTGTCAACGTTGCAATATGTGT